TATCATCAGTAAACACCATGTCTCAAGACAACTTAGATAAGCAATCCAATGAAGGACCCGATCTAAATCACAGGGGAATAGTTGGATTATCTGGGGGTGTAAAAAGAAAATTAAAGGATCATACAATTGAAACCAAGTTTCAAGTCATCTCTGAAGTAAAGAAGAGTATCCTGAGTAAAGCCGCCATAGCCAAGAAATACGGCATTCCCACCAACACTTTGTCAATTGGGCTAAAAAATCAATAAAATCAATGATGCATATGAGATGAGTATCTTTGGTCCACAACATAAGAAAATGCGTACTGCTATTTTCCAAGATACAGAACATGCAGTCCTAATGTAGATCAAAACAGCAAGAATCAGAATGTTCCCGTTTCGGGTCCATTTCCGATTGCCAGCTTGCTTCTCAGCTTGGCGATACAGACTTTAAATGCTCTTCAGGATGGCTTGAGAGATTTAAAGAGCAAAATATCATTTCCTTTATACATCTTTATGGCGAGTCTAACTCTGTCAACACCAGCAGTGACACCATGGTTGAGTGGTCTTCAAACTTAGGATGTTGATTGCCATGGCGGCAAAAGCAGCAAAGAGAGACTGTCCTTGTTTGCGCTTAAATGTCTGGAACAGAAAAGGTTCCCTTATTTGTCATTGAAAAATCTAAAAATCCTCAATGTTTTCAAAAATATTAAAACCTTGCCCACATTTTATGAGGCATATAAGAAAGCGTGGATAACATCTGACTTATTCACAGCATAGCTGCGCAAATATGACAGGTAATTTCAACACCAGAGAAGAAATGTTTCTATGGTAGTGGACAATTGCCCTGCCCACCCAAAAGTTACCAGTCTAAAAGCCATCACGCTCTATTTTGACTGCCCAACACTACAAGCAAAACTCAACCCATGGACCAGGGCATTATTCAAATTCTTAAAGTATACTATAGAAAGCTTGTAATAATGAAACAGCTGAGGGCAATAGAGAAGCGATGTGAACTGACTATCACAGTCCATGATGATCTGTGCATGCTTTATAAGGCATGGGCCAAGCTTACCGACAAAACAATTCAAAATTGTTTCCGTCATGCTAACTTTAGCACTGACACTGCAGTGGATCCATCTGTCTCCAGCGACGGCGATGAAAACCCTGAAGATGACATCCCCCTGGCTGCTCTTCATCTGCAAGTTCCATTTGAAGACTACGCCTGAGTGGATGAAAACGTGACAACTACAGAGGCCATGACTTACAGAGACATTGTTGAAAACATTATTGCTGTGAGGGCACCCAAGAATGAAGACAACAGTGACAAAAAAGAGCCAACAAAGACTGCACAAAAGCCACCAACAAAACAAGTCGTGAAAGCACTGGAACTTGTCCATGATTGGGTAGAAAAGACAAAAAACACAGAGGACCTATTTCCCGCAATTCAAAACCTAGAGAGATGTGTAACATCAAATGACATAAAATCAACTCATCTTCAGCAAAGTTGCATTTATTAAAGACTTTCTCAGTGACTTGGCTAGTGATCGTGATGTGCATTAATGTGAGAAGGCTGAAATATGCAGTGACTTTTTTACGATGTTGTGTGAACTAAAGTGTGTATTGGACATACATTTTTTTTAATTTATCATGTTTGTGTTTGATTTCTAAAATGTTCTCTTGATTCTGTATGAAATAATTTAATTTAAAAAATCTGATGTGGTAAAACGGCAATACCATTTTCCTTTAAATATTTGGTTACTACCTCTGATCTATGGGCAGGTGCATTGTCATGGAGGAGCTTTATTCCTCTAGTACTGGTTGTTGGTCATTTTATAGTGCTCTACAACCTGAGACAAGACATTCTCTGCATAAAATTGACCAGTAACACTGCTGTGTTCTGGAACCGGAACTTGAGCAAAAGGGCCTTTAGAATAAAAAAATAAGGCGTACATTACTCTCCAGACAGACCAGTTTCTGCGTGCAATTTGAGGCCTTGTATCATTTTCACCAATCCAAACTTTATTACTGAGCTTGGTTTCCGGTTCAAAAAAATATATCCATTTTTCATCACCAGTTACAATCTCATTTATTCGCCTTTGGTCACAATTTTCATAAATTGTTAGTACCGTAAATCTGGAAATTTTTGCTGTTAGTAGATAAATTTTTAGCAAATTCACGCATGCATTGCATTCGCAAAAATATTTTTCTTAAAAATAAATCAACAACAAAAAATGTTTTTATCTAAAGATTACTTTAAGATTACATCATTATATATATTTTATGTACATGTGTGATTTATGAAAATGTTATGAAAACTTTCAACACTTTGGATGATTTATCTTTTCTAATATTTTTATCTGATTATTGAACGTTGGCGTAGTTTAATATTGTATGTTTATTCGTAATTTATTGTATGTACATGCGTAACTTACAAACATTTAGGAAAATTTTAAGAGCTTTTTACATTTTATTTCAAATGACGATTCGCAAAAATTTTAAATGTAAAAATTAATCAACAGACTTTTGACCCAGATTTGCAAAAATAAATCGACGTAAAAATTTCCAGATTTACGGTAACTATGAAGCCATTTCTACCCGGATGCGCTTTTGCTCTTCCGAGAGAAGATGCGACACCCATCTAGCACAGACTTTCCTAAGCTTTAAGTTTTCCTTTACAATATGAAAAACTGCTGACGAATTAATGTTAGTTAAGTCTGCTATTTCCTCAACTGTATATCTAGCATCATCAGCTATCGTATTTTGAACAGCGACAATTTCTTTTTCGCCATATGCACAAACTGGACGCCCCCGAACGGGGGTCATCTCCAATTATTTTTCTACCCTCTTTAAATTGAACTACCCATCTTGCTATTGCTCGATATGAAAGAGCATGCTCTCTATATACTACATCTAAATTGGCTTTTATTTCTGTTGCCGTAAAGCCAAGCAATGAGCAAATTTTGCAATACGCTCTTTGCTCAACAAAAAAATTGTTCTCCTTATCAGTCATTTTTACGCCCAGTATACAGAGTATACCTAATTATGACGTCATTTTAGCAGACCTATACGTCATTTTGAATGTAAAATGACATCACTACTAATGCATATGATGACCGTCAAGCGAAAACCAGGTTTAAGTGCATTGTGAGGTTATCAAGAAATCAAGCGGTAAAGTCGACGTCATATTTTAACTTCATGATGGAATCATTTTCTGCAACGCTGCTTCATCTTTGAGAGTGAATGATTTACTTGAGGGATCATGGAACTGTCCGTAAGTACTGTTATAAACCTACATGTTCAGACGATCATTAGTTCATCCGTTGACACGTGTTTCATTGATGTTAAACATCTAAACACATGTTAAAACTTAAACTGTCAATCTTCGCCGATCATCATAGTACTTTGTAACATATCAGCTTGCACTCTTCACAATCGTTTTTCGCTATCTTCATATTTCAATTCCACAGCGTTTAACAGGAAGTGTGAACATGAAAATAACACTTAATTACTCTATGTAAATATGAAAAATATTTGTTTATGAAAATGTTTGTTTGACGTATTAAAAAAAAATCAGGATATGAACAAAGTTATCTGTTTAGTTATTTTTTGTGGTGTTGAGATGTTTATAAAAATACACATTTCTCTTTAAATGCAAACATTTTCACAAATATCCAGAGTCGATCAAAGCATATAGACATTCTAAAAATAACTTATGATTGCCTAGCTACACGGTATGTTCAGCAGTAGCTATATCAAGCATCGTTAGTTCGCGTTGTGTAAATGAAGTTTTTCGAGAAGGAGATATGTGTCAACGTTTCGAAACGGTTAATGATTGGATTTTAGAATTAACATTATATTTTTGATTTTTGCAGATTTTTGCCGTTGTCATTTAGTACATATCAAAATAATTATTTATGTAATTAAGGGCGGATCCAGTAAATTTTTCCGGAAGAGATGATATCATCATCATCAAAAAAGAAAGGAAAAAAAAGAAGAAAAAAACCCTCAAAATTATTTGATAAGCACAATGGTAAATAAAGGAAGAAAAAAAGAAACACCAATGTGAAAAATTATTTTGTGCGTGTGTGTTCGAGTGGAAGGGGGTGCCAGGACACTTTTTACTGATCAGCAACAACCCGCTTTTTTTCTTCACATAATTTTAAAAAAAGAGTTTTTCCCGGGATGGGGTCTAATATTATTCTTTGGTTTTTAACTTATATAGATTTTAGATAGATTTTTTTTTCTCTGAAAACCGCGGGGGTCCGCCCCTCCACTCTCACTGCATCCGCTTCTGGCAAAGCTACTTAATTAAAAAAAATTATTTGTTAAAATAAGAATAATGATATAAGTTATAAACATTGTGAGAGAATGAATACGATCTTATTTTGGGTAAATTCGTCAGAATTTTTGACAAAAATTAAAAAATAAACTAAGTTTAATCCAGAAATTGATTTGATTGATAATGCCGGCAATACATTCAAAATTTTTTTAATTGAATTATACAAATTTTAGGACCTAGAAAATATCAACACAGAATATTTCCCTACAAAAAATCGCACTAATCAGAACAAAGATACGTGTTCTATCAACGATAACAGCGATGATGGCGAATCAGATGACAATTCAGCAAATTTAGAGGCACGGATCCGCATTTACGTCGAAGAGCAGATGAACGAAAATCTGTCTGATAACAGCGACGATGAAGACGATATCAGCACTTTAGATAATCCATGCACTGAGGATGTAAAATTGCGCTCTTTGATTGAAAAGGGATGTGGATGTGCGAGAAACTGTATTTCTACATTTAGTTTTTCGGATATCAGAGAACATGTTATTTCCTTATCCAAGATGACAAAAAATGAAAGGGATTTTTATATCATGGCAAAATTAAACGTAAAGGCTAGGTGCAGACAGTCAAAAGATGAAGGTGCAACTAGAAAACATCTTCGATACCTCTATGAATTTAAAGATGTTGAAGTTTGCCGACAAACATTTCTGATTACCCACAACATTGGCTTTACATTAGAATCTCTAATTCGTCATCTTACAACAAATGGGTTGGTTTCGCGAACTCATGGAAATAAACATAAGCAGCCAAGAAATGCATACAGTTTTGATGTCTTGAGAGATGCTGCCCAGTTCATTACCAATTATGCAGAGGAGCATTGCCTGCCCCAGCCGGCAGCAGTCAACAGAAATATTGGAGGGCACATACTGCTACCATGCAGTGAAAGCAAACAGTCTCTGTATAAAATATATAAAGATATTTGTACTGATAACAACAAAACAGCAGTAGGACTTACAACCTTTAAAGGAGTCTGGCAGAGTTGCTGTCCCAATATAAAATTTATGTCCCCCCAGACTGACGTATGTCCTGTCTGTGAACAGCACAAAGATGACATTCAATCGGCGATGACGGAAAACGAAAAGTTAGCAGCGCTCGACCAATATAGTACACACTTGCATGAAGTTAAAGCAGAACGACAGGTACTACAGTTCCACGTTATTAACCTTCATTGAATTACTGATTAAAATGTTCCAATATATATTGTACAATTTTCAAGTACATTGTGTATTTTAAAGGTTGATATTCTGATATATGCTGCATTAGAAAAAAAAAAATATGTTTTCTCTTTCCATTAGACGATTTCAAATCTTTTAAAAAAATATACATGTACATGTATATTCTTTTTTAATGACAGTTGTATAACCAGTGTGTTACAAATGCATGAGATGAGATAGCTGAGCAACCCGTCCCGGTAAATCCAGCCCCAGGGATGTCGGTGGACCTACAACATGTTCATTATACATTCGACTACTCTCAAACTGTATCTATCCTGCATCATGTCAAGTCAGACCTTTATACTTCGCTACTCCTAGAAAGGTCCAGCTGTTTGGAGTTGCTATGGAAGGTTAGTTTCTGTATACAATACCGGTATATTTAAAATTGTTGTATATTCCATACTGTATTTGCAATAACATGCACTTTTTGCCCCCCCCCCCCCCCCGAAAAAAAAATCAGAAGGGGATTTTAACAATAATGATTGCATTTTACAAAGGTATAAGGAAGCAGTTTAACTTCATTATAGACGAGGATTCAACACCGGGGGAAAACGGAACAAAGATCAAGGGCGCAATAGGCGTGATTTCAATGCTTCACTACTGTTTTGAGAATTTTGGACTGGGTGAAAAAGAATGTCACTTACACTGTGATAATGCTTCAGGTCAGAATTAAATTATAAAGATTTTAATTTAAAAATACTATGGAATCATTTGAATTCGTTGGGGGCAATGTTCAGGGACAATCCAAATCAGGGAAAATCAAAATCTAACTGGTTTGTGGGGTTGTAATCTTGTAACTCGTTGACATAGGGGACTATAATTAGTGGATAAGGGTTGACCCACGAATGTCGAAATCCATGAACCAACGAACAATGATGATTCCGCAATATGAACAAAAATATTACCCTTGCATATTATTTTTTGAAATGCATATATTTCTCTTTTAAAGGGAAATCAAAAACAAATTCATGCTTGCATATTTGATGTGGAGAACGCTGACTGGCAAGCATTCAAAAATAAATTTGCATATGCAAGTTCCCTATCATGGCAAAAGCCTGGTAGATGCTGGCTTTGCTTACATCAAAAAATCATACAGAAGGGCTGAGGTTGACTCTTTAGAACAATTAGCATCCATGGTTAGGAAAAGCACAAGATCCAACGAAGTCATTGTATTTGGTGGGGCTGGCGGAGAATGGCTTGACTGGAAGACATTTACTTCAGAGTACTTCATTCCTTTCAAGGGCATCAGAAAATATAGACACTTTGTCTTCCAAGCAGATAAACCAGGTATAATTGGCAAAAATATTTGATTTATTTCCACTTACATGTAGGGAATAATTATACGTTCCTGTATTATCAATAAGCTAATACGTTAATATTATCTTTTTTTGTATAATGTATTTGGGTTGACCCCCCCCAAAGAAAAAATGGGGGGGGGAGGGAGGGGGGCAGCCTAGTCTTCCAACTCGCCTTCAGATTGTGTAGTCTTAGTTCTTTAATCGTTTCAAGAAATCTACGTGATGATCTTGTTGAATTAAGTTTCTTTGATTTACCTTTCTCCTATAATTTTTTTTTAATTTTTAAGGCATTGTCTTCGCCTTCAGATTGTGTAGTCTTAGTTCTTTAATCGTTTCAAGAAATCTACGTGATGATCTTGTTGAATTAAGTTTCTTTGATTTATCTTTCTCCTATAATTTTTTTTTAATTTTTAAGGCATTGTCTTAGCCAGAGAATTACCAGATTCACCCGGCACAGAAGTAAAACTGCTAAAACAGGGGATCGATTTAGGCACCATCCAACCTCCAAATGTTATTCCTGCAGCTGGATTAAGTAGAGAAAGAAGTGAATACTTGTTTAAATTCATCAGACAATTTGTCAGGGCCCCGCACAAGGACGCCGTCGCTCCTTCCCCTGACGCCCAGGAAGAGTAACGTAACTACTGTCGACAGATTAATCAACGAATGTTGAATGACTATTCAATGACCATTAAAAATTATTAACTGTGAAAATAAAATTATAGCTTGTGAAAGTTTTTATATTTGAATTATCTGCATCTATCAGGTGAAAAAATGTTTATTATTCAATACGTGTCCTGTTTCCTTAAAAATATTTACAGCAACATCATAACAATATGCGAAGTTATCCCCCAAAACTTGTGACGTTAATGTGAGTTTATAGCAAGTTTCATGGGGATTTATTATGTAATTATCGTTGTTTCTGAACGTTAAGCTTTTTATATCAAAAGAAAGAGGAGAAAATTCTCTATTTAAACCCATAAAAATCTGAAAAAGTGATATTTTCACTTAAGCCTGGTTTTCGCTTGACGGTCATCATATTTGCCTATGCTTTACAGTGGTATCAGAGTCATTTTAATCCGTAACGTAGTTAAAATTTTATATACCAGTTGCCAGAACTTTTGAAATGCCCCTCGTATATTGCAGAACAAAAGACTGAAAGTAAGAATGCAATTCAGTTTAAAATGAATAGATTATAGAAAACTTAATTTGGGAAACATTTTAAATCTTTTCTTGTCACTTTCAAATAGTATTTGTTTTGAAGGAATAAAGTGCAATAATTTAATTTTGGTTGTAACATGTTATTTGATTGGATAAAAAAAAATAGTTTATATCATAACCTGTGTTGCCTAGGTCACAATGATTTACATCAAAAGCATATCGATCCACTTGACGTTACATTTAAAATATGTGCAATTTGAAGGCATTTTTAAAGGACAAATTGTCTTATTTTCTTTGCTTAATGATTGAAAATTAAATTATAAGGAATGAATTTAAGAGCTAAATATATACTGGTATAACCTGGGTTGGAAGTTTATGCTTTTTTATAATCAGCTTTGCAGTTTATAAAGCGTAAACTGCCCCAACCTAGGTTATACCAGTATCACTTGGGTAGCTATTAAATTCATTCCTTAAATATTCAATACATGTGTAAGCATGCGAGGTATATCAAATCGTTCAAAAGAACATCTAAATCAAACTTCGGATATCTCAAGCACCGGATATCTCGAAGTTTTTTTTATAAGTAACAGAGATTTTGAGATATCTCGAGTCAACTGTACAACAATTTAGAGGATCCATGAGTATAAAACAAGAGGCCCAAGGGCCTTGAATCGCTCTTCTGATAAACTGTACAACCTGTCACTTCTATCTGAAGCCTCTAAGTATCCTGTATATTTAGATAAAGCCCTGAAATTCCAATGGTAGGTCATCATGACCTACATTTTAGATGAAACACTCTGAGAACCCAAGATGATTCTAAGCCAATTAGTACCTTAGAGAAGGTCATGGTGACCTACTAATCACTTGTCATTCTCTGAGGACCCAAGATGCATCAACTAAGTTTGATGATTCTAAGCCAATTAATACCTAAAATATTTTAAAATTATAACCATAGAATTTCAAAGTAGGTCACAGTGACCTACTTTTCAGATGACACACATTGAGGACCCAACTTTTCAGTTGTGGTACTTGAAAGACCCAAGATGCATCAACTGACAAAGTTTGATTATTCTAAGCCAATTAGTACCTGAAATATTTAATTAAAGCCATAAATTTTCAAAATTAGGTCACTGTGACCTACTTTTCAGTTGCTGTATTCTGAAGACCCAAGATGCATCAACTGACAGCTGACAAAGTTTGAGGATTCTAAGCCAATTAGAACCTGAAATACTTAATAAAAGCAATAAATTTTCAAAAGTAGGTCAATGTGACCTACTTTTCAGTCGACCTACTCCATAGACACAAGATGCATCAACTGAAAAAGTTTGATGATTCTAAGTCAAATAGTACCCTAAATATTTAAAAATAGCCATAAAATTTCAAAAGTAGGTCACGATGACCTACTTTTCAGTTGACATTTTTCAAGGAACCAAGATGCATCAACTTACAAAGTTTTATGATCATAGGCCTTAAAATGACCAAATTATGCCTCTATAACACTTTGTCTATAACACTTTGAAATTGAATGCCTGCAAAGTTCATAAAGTAGGTCACTGTGACCTACTTTTTAATAAATACGTTTTATGGCCCCAAGATGCATCATCTTACAAGATTTAATGATTCTAAACCTCTCAGTATTCGAATTAATGACCTTAATTGTTTTGAAAAAAATTAGCCATAAAATTCAAAAAGTAGGTCAAGGTGACCTATGTTTTAGTTGACGTACTCCGAGGGCCCAGGATACAGCAACTGACAAAGTTTGATGATCATAGGCCTTAAATTGTTCAAAATATGCCTCTAAATCATTTTGAAAAAGAATGGCCGCAAAATTTAAAAAGTAAGTCACCATGACCTACTTTTGAGTCAACATGATACGAGGTCCTTAGATGCATCAACTGACAAGATTTGATGATCCTAGTCCTTATAGTAAGCAAAATATTAACATTTTAATAAAATGTAATCAACTTTGAAGTGAACTTGAGACCATGCCCTTTGCCCCACGGTGATGCCTTGAATAATTTTTAATCTACAACATATCCTCATCCTTTTGTGTAAGTTTGGTGATAATCTGCCCAGTGGTTGTTGAGAAGATTTTTTAGCAACCAGTACTTTTGTTTCTTTTTTCCTAATTATCTCCCCTTGTTTAAGGGTCACAACCCTAGTTTTTATTTGTATGAAGATATTTTTCCCAATTTCAACAAAATATCGCTTTTTCCCAACTTGATGGCCCCGGCCCCTGGAATCAAAGGATAAAAAATCCCTGAACAACGATACTTCATTTTTTTCAGGTGAATATACATATTTGCTTTTTTAAACTGAATAAAGCAAAATGTATATTGTCATTATATTTATTTATTCTATGTAAGACGAACATCATATTATGCATTAGTTACATGAAAACGACATTTTATAGATTTGTAGCATAGACTATTTGTAACTGTTGATATCAAACATCGTTCTGCAAGTTTTTGCTCTGCAATTGTCATTATATTAACATTGATGCTTTTACATGTATGCATAGTTTCTGCATTTCTATAATTCATTTAACTTTGACAATGACTCAAAATTAGTATCTAGTCTCATTATCAATCAATAATTTTCTGCATCTTCTAATTATCATAAGACAGTTGATGTTAATTATTTTAAAGCAGACATGCGGCAATATGATCAATTACATCTGCATCAATCAGTAATTATTTTGCAGTACAAATGTCACCTAAATAAACATGGAGTTTCTAGAATCCTATGTCTTATGCCTGTGGCCATTTAAATGTCCAGGTAAAAGTGTTAATTATGTAATGCTTGCTGGACATAGCCACTTCGAGGTATTGAGGATAAAATAACGTAGATTGGGCAAAGTGAGACTGTACTTTGACTTCAAGGGATCAAGGATTTTGAGAGATTGAGAGTTTGAGAGATCAAGAGTAAATTCTTTGCTTAGTTATACAGGGAAAAAATCAGAAATGAAGACTGACACTTCAAGAGATAGAGATTGAGTCATCAAGAATTATCTGTACTATTATTTCCTCAGGGCTTTCAAAAAGATTAGAAGTAGGTGGTATTTTTGTCAAAAATAGGAGGTACCTTATGAAAGCAATTTTAATTAAATATGTTATTAAATTTTTCTCTAAAAATTTTTTGGCCAGTATATTCGTGATTTCAGCCAGGTAATAGGGCTGAAACAATATGCCCCCTCCACGATACGGTACATATTGCGATACTTATGCCACAATTCATTTTTTTCAATACGATACATTTTAAAAAAGAAACAAATCATAAGGTTAAAGAAAACATGTATTCAGATTTCAAAAGGCAAGTAAAAAGTGGTGATACAATAAAGAGCACTACTTGTGCTTCTGTAGATTAAAAGAGCACTTTGTTCGTGTCAATACTAGCAGTGGCAGTCTGCTCTGAAACTTTCTTCGTCACAATTTTCTCCATCGTGTGTGTCTAACTATTAAAATGAGGTTGAATCCAATCTACCGAGTAACCAAACCTGAATATAAAAAAAACGTACCGAACCGAAAATCGAGATAGTGAATTGAATATTGAACCGAGCAGTAATATTGAACAATATCGATATTTCGGTGAATCGTTTCAGCCCTACCGGGTAAAGTACCGGGTTCCCACACATTTTGAATGGCCTGTTACCTGCAAATGGAATTTATGTCTCCCAATTGATCAATACCCAAAAGCATATTCTATGTACAAACAATTTCTAAAATGAGGCAAAATAAGTTGATGATACACGGATATCAACAGTCTCACTTAAAATCAATATTTTGCTAATTCTATGGTCGATACAATGGCCTTAGCAATAGAATCTATAATTAAGTTGACTGATGTTTTTCATTCAAATTTTTATGCCATTATTTTCACACTGAATTGTCTATTGAAAATTTGCCTCATCATAACAAGTAGCATACTGACAGATCGACAGGGGATGCTTACTCCTCTATGGATCCCAAAATCTATAGGTGTCTTGATCTTAAATTAAAGTACATCTCTGCAAAATTTGAAAAAAAAAATCTTGAAAACTGATTGAATTATCAAGTCACAACAAAAGCATTGATGGACAGATGAACAATGTGATTCCTATAGGTTCCCACATTTTCATGCAGTGCCCTAATAACTACACATTTGTTTCTTATTTCCCTACCAATTGAGGTTGTGGATACACTTCTAGTGTATGCCAGTCGGCGTTCAAACCACACTGAAGGTTGTGAAAACTTTTCCATGAAGAAATATCTCATTACTGGTTGAAACCTGGAGCATATTTCCAGGAAATTTTTCAATTTGTCATTCAGGGAAGCTCGAACTGTTTCCTGCAAATATAAACATTTGATATTGAAGACAAATAGATATCATGAGATGGTGATCATCTCAAACAGCCTGCTTTAGGATGAAAGACCCTTTGTACAGGGGCATTCTTTGGGCGAAGTTTGAGCAAAATGGGGACAAAATGCACAAGAAAAGAATTTAGCAAAGATTTGCCATAAGCTTGACCTCTAACCTAAAACATAGCTGAGGGATACTGCAAACCCTCTATCAATGGGCACTTTTATGGATGAAGTTTGAGCCAGGTAGGGCCAAGGGGGAGATAAAATATACTCCGAACAAAAATTTAACACAGAGGTTTTCTGACCTTGACCTTTTACCTAGAAAATTGGTTCAAGAACACTGCACATCATCTACCCATAGGCACTCAATGGGTGAAATAAGAGCAGACCTGGAAGAGAAAATAATACTTTCGACAAGGATTTTTTATGCTAGGAGATTTTTTTTATACTTTGACCTTTGATTGGAGAATTGATTCAAGGTCACTGCACATCCTCTACCTACAGGCACTTTGTGGGTGAAGTATGAGCTCAACTGAGCCAATGGAAGAGAAAGTGCACACAGAACAAGGACTATACACAGAACAAGGACTATACACAGAACAAGGACTATACACATCATTGATGTCCGATTGGAAAATAAGTTTAAGGTCACTGCACACAAGCTACCCACAGACACTCTTAATGGGTGAAGTTTGACCCTGACTGGCCAAAACGGAGAAAAAAATATACTCAAAACATGATTTTTTTTTTTTTATGCCATGAGATTTACTGATCTAGACCTTTCATCTTGGAAATTGGCTCAAGGTCACTGCACACTCTGTCTACAAACACTCTATGGGTGAAGTATGAGCCTAACTGGACCAAAGGGAGAAAAAATATGCTCTGGACAAGGATTTTACACTGAGGTTTTTGGCCTTGACCTTTGATTTAGAAAATTGTTTCAAGGTCACTGCACACCCTCAACCCATGGGCAATCTATGGCTGAAGTTTGAGCAGGATTGGGCCAAGGGGAATAAATATATGCTCTGGACAAATGAAATCGGATGGGTGGATGGTCAGACAGACTGATCAATGTAGGGCACCTGCAGAGCAGAGTCCTGATAAAATCTTTAACCAGAATGAGAAGGGTTCAACACTGTAAACTCAAAGTATATATTTGATCCCCTTTCGCCACATCCTAGCCATGTTGACCATGAATTGAAAAAAAAATTGAAGGAAACAAACACATTTTTCTTTAAGCCTAGAGAAACCATTAAAATACTGTCTCAAAATAAAAGACAAGTTCAACATTTTTAATTTACAGTATACTGGAGGCTTGATGTAAAACTTTATGAATTGTACTTTCATATTCTTTTGGATATCTATATATTTCTGTTTGAAACTGTGTTCCCATTTGTGGCCCCAAACCTAAATGCTTTGAACAAACCTGAACCTGAATCTAAATTGCATCGTGTTGGAATACTTATTAAATTGGCTCATTATCATTGATTACACCAATCACTGTTCTTTGTCCATCTTTTGAAAATTCAGTAGCCTTCTTCATCTAGTTACCAACAGGTACTATGACTGTAGTAAGTATTTGACTGTTTGAGAATTACTGTACAACTCGTGTATTGTGTCAGTATCTTAAGTACAGAAGCACAACTGCAGTTGACTATACATCGTGAGAGGACAACAGAGACTTACGACCATCTTATCCCTACAGGCTCTGGCTGTTATGTCCTGTGGTCTGAATCTTCTGTGGGCTCCCTTGGATTCATCCCTCTCTCCAATTAAATACATCCCTATAGGCAGGGTTCTCTCACACCACTCCAGAATTCCACTACACTGTGATAGAGGTATAACCTGTAAAAATCACAATTTATAAATATACACAATGTGCCACAATACTTGAGTCACTTTGACCCTGATATAGCTGCAATAATGAAGCCCTCTCTTCCTTTTTTTTTTTAAGGACCTCCGTAATGGTGCAAATGCGGGAGTGATTCACTCCTGCACAGATTTCGGCTCAAATTATCAGTAAGTGGGTATTTTATTAACATATCTTACCTGATCTCATGAAATGTAGTTATGCAAGACATGAACTGATCCAAAAATACACAGAACAATCCATATATCAGTTATTTTTCTCGCACGTCAACATTACAACTTGAATTTATCTTCCACGTTTACTGTCCTTGATAGATTTTATTTTGGGACAACCAATGAGAATTTGGAATCTAGGGAGCGGACTTATTTAGGATTTCCCTTATTTTAAGCATAAATATTGCTGTTTATGAAAAAAAAAAATCACATGGAATGCTTTTATTTATCAATGGTTATTGATACCAACAACACAAACATTTATCAACACCGATATTTACATTATCAAGTGATTCTAAATTTCAATTGCAAGTCTCAGTACATCATGCGAGAACTGTCATGGCTGCCAAGGAAAACGACTGGAAACATGCAGATTTATTTTACGTGGTTTTCGCGTATAAAAGGCTATGTTGTGGATAGTGAATAATAATTATGTCTTATTGGAAGTAAGTTGAAAGTAAAACCAATTTACTTTGCCTGCAGTTACCAATATCTAAAAAAATATATTTGCACCATTACGGAGATGCAGTAGAATTGTAGCCCTCTCCTGAAAATATCAGATTACAAAAAAATCAGAGAGCTACATTATTGCAGCTAGTACAGAATAAGAACAATAAATTGTTTTAAAAGTGACTTAATAAGCCAACTAAAAATATGAAAATTTTTATTTAAAAGTAAAAAAAAAAAAACTAGAAATATGTCCATAGGACATGAATGCCCCACCGAGGGTATATTAGTAATGTAACATGAAAATTTGTACTAGTGTATGAAATTTGATGAGAATATCTTGAATAATTTCTTTAAAATTGAAATTGAAATCTAAAAAGTTTGATATAGATGATAAATTCTCACCAAATTATGTATAAGTGCATAAGCTTACATAAATATATCTTAAATGGTTTCTTTAAAATTAAGCAAAATGCAAATTTAAGAAAAGTGAGGTCAAGGTCCCAGAAAAGTTCAAGGTCAAACGTTTTTGATGCAGTTGAATAGTTCTCATAAATACGTATCAGCATATTAAATTTGATAAAAATATTTTTAATGGTTTATCTAAAACTGAGCTAAACTCTAATTTATAATAAATGAAGTTAGTTCAAAGGAAAGGTCAAGGTAAAAAATATGTTGCTGCAGTTGAAAAGGTTACATCAGTATGTATTAGCATATGAAGTTTGATAAAAATATTATGAATGGTTTCTTTAAAACTGAGTTAAACACAAATTGAGAAAAGTGAGGTTAAGGTCAAAGGAAAGGTCAAGGAGAAAAAATATTGATGCAGGTGAATAGCTTACATCAGTATGTATCAGCATATGAAGTTTGACACGAATTTAAGAAAAGTGAGGTCAAGGTCAAAGGAAAGGACAAGGTCAAAAAATGTTGATGCAGTTGAATAGCTCTCATCGTAAGTATCAGCATATGAAGTTTGATAACACTATCTAGAATGGTATCTTTTAAACTGAGCTAAAAACTTATTTAAGAAAAGTGAGGTCAAGGTCAAAGGAAAGGACAAGGTCAAAAAATGTTGATGCAGTTGAATAGCTCTCATCGTAAGTATCAGCATATGAAGTTTGATAACACTATCTAGAATGGTATCTTTTAAACTGATCTAAAAACTTATTTAAGAAAAGTGAGGTCAAGGTCAAAGGAAAGGTCAAGGTAAAAAATATTGATGCAGTTGAATAACTCTCACCAGTATGTATCAGCATATGAAGTTTGTTAAAAATATCTTGAATGGTTTCATTAAAACTGAGCTAAACACTAATTTAAGAAAAGTGAGGTCAAGGTCAAAAGAAAGATCAAGGTCAAAAAATGTTGATGCAGTTGAATAGCTTACATCAGTATGTATCAACATATGAAGTTTGATTACACTATCTTGAATGGTATCTTTAAATTGAGCTAAACCCTAATTCAAGAAGTGAGTCAAGGTCAAAGGAAAGGTCAAGGTCATGTGTTCAAATCATGGCCGCGACTGTCATGACCTAAGTCGATAAAAAATAGGTAGCAAATGTTCCTTCACCAAGCGCTTTGCACTTTGGAGTGAAAGCTGTGGATCTTTCAGATGAGACCTTAAAAACCGAGGCCCCATGTCAATGCTCAATGGCCCTGAGTGTGGAGTAAGGTCTAAATTTGAAGTCCTTCACCGGATTATGGTGATGTCTCTATCACTAGAGACACATGGTGATGTCTCTCTATGAGTGAAAAATTATCGAACGGGACATAAAACAACACACAATCAATCTAATTAAACTTATGGACATAAAAAGACAAAATGTAAGTAGCCATAATTCTTATATGATTTAATATTCTAATTTTCCTACCTTGTACTGCTTCACTGTCAGATTTCTTTTCCTTGTGTCTGGGTTTTTGTGAAGCAGAGTATTAAGCATACCAAACACCTGCTGCATAACAGCATCCTGTCTTAAATCATCTCTACCCTGAAAAGAAATGTACTTGAAAATAGTCAGGTATGATGGTTTTTCCACCAAAATGTTTGTTTGTTTTTCCTTTGACTTTGTATTACCTTTGATAGCTAATACAGTGTACTATCAAAATTTTTTTAAAAATTGGAAGAATTTAAAAAAAAAAAAGAGGTTGAAAATGTCTGTTGATGAGCAGTGCATGGTCATTTGAATTACTACAGATGCCTGCTTGCACTGATTTGAATGCATGTTCAATGTTATAACAAAGGTTACCTACCTTGACAAGTTGTCGACGTCCTCTTCCATCTGATCCCAAACAAGTCAGAATTTTTGGTAAGTTGATTCCTCCAGCCAACTTGAATGTGGGTTCGAATCCCTTTAGGGTAACTACTGATTTATAATCTCCTGTTGGGTCAATCTATAAGAATTATTAAAACAAGAGATTCATGAGCCATGATATTTACCAAGTTTCACAGACTTAAACAAAAGTCCAAGCTTGCTTTGGAATTACTCAGAGCCTGACAATTTTAATACAGGTGAATGACTTATTTAGCCCCACCAATGTAGAGAACTGCTTGTTCTAATTGTACATTTACTTTTTGACTGTTAGATGCCCATAAGTAAAGATTTTGTAAAGCGTAATTTACAGTATAATTTGTTAAAACAGAATACCACCAATTCCATGAAAATTGGCCAGATTAGAGAGAATCAAAAATGCACAAAAAATGCTGGAAAATACTTGAAATTTATTTCCATTCCTTTCTTTTATTCACAACTACAATATACTGGCAAAATATAATTAAATGATGAAACATTCTTCAATGTACATCTTGAAATCCAGAAATTAATCAAGAATTATGCATAACCATACAGATGTCAAATTTTTTGTTCAACAAAGTTCAAGACTTCAATGTGAGAGGTAAACAGAGTTGAATTCTACAGACACGTATAAATCAATTAAAAACTATGAAGTCCAGGTTTTGCAGGTCAAATATAATATTCAAGATAAACACAATTATTTTTGATTTGATAATTATTAACATGACCTAGAAATTTTATGTTAACATTCATGTCTTTCCTCCAATGTTAGGGTGCCATTTTGGTATTAGATGTTGGAAGTTAAAATCCTTCTTCCTTCTCCCTGTGGAAAGCAGTAGGCAACAGATTTTACCCGGCTAACAGAAGAGGTACATGTTAAAATAAGTTGCAGAGAAGCAGGATTTTTTTTTATGAAAAAGCAGTGTGGGAAAAGTGGAATTGCAAAGGTGTTAATAGCAATGACGTGGATCATGTAATATATTTTGTGGCCAGTTAACGGAAATAATTTTCATTTATTATTAGCAGCAAGGACCAGACAAGTACAGTTGTACGGAATACAGCACAGACAGAATCTGACTGTACAGAATTTTTAATACTACTCAGTATCTAGATTAGACAAATTATATAATTTATGAATAATACATACTGCCCTAAGTTGGGGGCTAGGTTGGTCAGAAATAGATCATGCAGTTTGTGAGAAAACCGTATTTTTTTTTAAAAAGAGATTTTTCTTTTTTATAATGTAAAACTCTGATTGCCCATTGGGGTCACCTACCATCAGGAAATTATGATTTTAACAAACTTGAATCTAAACTACCTATGAATGCATCTACAGTGGACATTTAGATATCTGGGCCTTCAGCTTCTGGATAGCTTTTTGGGAAACAAAATTTTTTAATTACATATTTTTTTGAATCTTTTATTTGGGATTCCACATTCTGCCCTAACACCAGAAACCCTTACCCAGGGGCCATGAAATTCATAATTTTGCTAAAGGCTCAATGCTTTTTAAAATCATGTAAAAAGTTAAACTGTTTTATGTCAAAGTGTACACCCAAAGGGGAAAGGGGCCATGAAATTCATAACTTTTGTTCCCCTTCACCCAGGTGAGATTTTTATATGTTTTGTTGGTGGCCCTGAAGCCTGGTTTGAACAAACTTGAATAAATGCTTGCATTTCCATCAAAAACCTTTGACTTACCTGTATGTACTGTAAGCTCACAATAAGATAAACAGACAAGAGGAGAATATTGATTAATAAGTTCTTACCGGCTTTAGCCAGTAAATTTTAAAAAGTTACCTACAGGTATTTCATCCGTTGGCACAGCCACATTATCCATTTCTTTAATCTGTGTGATCCAAAGTCTTTTATCCAAAGTTATTGGTTCTGTAAGCATACATATTAGGTGTACAACAATGAAGGACAAATGCTCAATTAATTCATATCTAAAGATTTTTTTTTGGAACTGTTTTAATTTCCTACATCAATTTTGAACCACTGTGGTGCAATGAAACAGGACTTCATAAGAATATGATTAACAAATGTGTTTCTTCCTAAAAAAGAAACATGAAGAAGTCTGTATAAGCCAATGCTCACTGGTAATACCCCCACTCTAATGTGAATATACGTTCTCATGTAAAAATACGGAAATTTGGTACAGACAGATGCATGCATAAACAGGAAGTTGACAATGAATTCATACAAAAATGAATCCCACCATATGGCTTGCCTAAACAAAAAGTGTGCTTAAATTTGAAGCATCTACATTGAGTAGTTGCTAATAAAACTGCGACAAAAAATTTGGTACAGACAGAAGCAGGGATAAACAGGAAGTAGACATAGGATTCAAACAAAAATTAATCCCAACATATGGCATGCCAAAACAAAGAGTGTGCTAAAATTTCAAGTATCTGCAATGAGTAGTTGCTGAAAAATCTGCAATGAAAATTTGGTACGGACAGACACACTGACAATCAGGAAGATGACATTGGATTTGTACGAAAATGAATCCCACCATATGGCATGCATAAACAATAGGCCCATGGGCCACATCGCTCACCTGAGCATTTAGGCCAGCAAAAAGGAGAAACCAGTTCAATATTGAAAAGTTTAATTCTAAAAGTGGTCAGGGGGGAAGATTTGAACAAACTTGAATCTACACTAGGGTGAATTCACCATGCATCGGACACCCTCGCACTTCAACAAGTTCTAGTGATATCGCTATCGACTTGAACATTATCAAAATGGAACTTAACATATAGTATGTGGTTAAAATGTAAATTTTTGACAAAATCGTGCCCTATTTATTGAGAAAATATCATTTAAAACCGATATTTTCGAAATAAGTCAGAAATCACCATGGATCGGACAATATTCACCATGCATCGGACATACGATATTGAAACCAGAAAAATATCATACCTTGATATTGGTGCTTTAAAATTAGTGATATTGAAACATTTTTGTCTTTTATTTAAAAATTAACCTTCTCATTAAATTTGAATGACTATTTCGATCCACAAACGTGAAGAGATTTTAGTTGCATCACATTGCCTTAGAAAGGCTTTACAATGCTAGTAATATGGCAACTTGCGCCTTTGTCTCGTGTGTTAGTTTAAAGAAATAAATTGAGTCCACTTCTATTGTCATATATCGATAATTTGTATTTTCACTGAAAATATAGAGTTTCTATTTTCTATTTCCATAAAAAAAAGCTGTCATTTTGGTTTTACATGAAAATGGAAGTGATTACCCATGCATTGGAAAGTGTCAGATGCATGGTTAATTTGTGTCCGATGTACAGTGAAATCAACATACTAGTTAAAAACAACTCTAAAAAATATTATACAAACACTGAAATCAAATTTTTGAAAAATTTCTGTAAAATTATCAATCATTGACAAATTTTATGAAGGTCCGACCCATTCCGTTGATGTCTATTTAAAAAAAACGATAACTCTAAAAATTGCAAAATCGTAAAATTCTGGTTACTCCCCTTTGATGATGCAAAATATGACGTAATTTCAAGGCCATTATTGTGGTATTTTTATCACAACATGAAAATAAAAATCGGCATCATTATAAAGTTTAATTCTTCACCTCTAAGACAGAAACAATTAAAAACAAGGGGAGACTCAGGTTCAATGAAAGTTTATTGCTTGAAGTTGTCCGAAGCAAGGTATGTGTCCGATGCATGGTTATATCACCCTATCTGAGGATGTTTCCATATTTCTTTGACTAATCATGGCTTAACAACACCAAGTCTAATTATTTCTACCCTAGATATTTTGATAAATTTTCTTCAATGAATGTTTACTATTATATTAATTGTTTTAAGATTAAACCATCCCAATATCTAAGGGGGTCATCTCAAAAGCTGTAAAATTTTACAATTGGACCTTATGTGTATTAGTTGGAAAAGTGCCAATTTATCACATTTTTATGCCCCAGGATCAAAAGGTCCTGGGGGTATATTGTTTTCGTCCTGTCTGTCTGTTTGCCCGTTTGTCTGTTGTCAACTAAAGTTGACCTTGCCCATAACTTTTGATTGGTTGGAGCTATGACTTTCATATTTCACATGTGTATTCCTTCTGACAAGACCTTTCTTTGGGTACCATCAAATTTGACCTTTTGACCTTGACCTTGGAGTTTAACCCACTTTTGCAAAATTTTATGAGACTAATCTTGGGCATTACTTCTGAACAGTTGGTGCTTGGGGTTTCAAACTTTACATGTGTATTCTTTGTGACAAGGCCTTCCTCTGGATACCAACAACTTTGACCTTTTGACCTTGACCTTGGAGTTTGACCTACTTTTAAAAAGCATTAACCTTGGCCATAACTTTTGAACAGTTGGTGCTTGGGGTTTCAAACTTCACATGCGTATTCCTTGTGACAAGACCTTCCTTTGGATATCAACCTCTTTGACCCTTTGACCTTGACCTAGGAGTTTGACCTACTTTTGAAAAACTTTAACCTTGGCCATAACTTCTGAATGGTTGGAGTTAGGGCTTTTACACTTCACATATGTAATCATTGTGACAAGACCTTTTTTTTGGATACCAACCACTTAGACCTTTTGAGCTTGACCTAGGAGTTTGACCTACTTTTGAAAAACTTTAACCTTGGCCATAACTTTTGAATGGTTGATGCTAGGGCTTTCAACTTCACATATGTAATCCTTGTGGCATCACCTTCCTTTGGATACCAGCCACTTTGACCCTTTGACCTTGACATAGGAGTTTGACCTACTTTTGAAAAACTTTAACCTTGGCCATAACTTTTGAATGGTTGGTGCTAGGGCTTTCATACTTCACCTATGTAATCCTTGTGACAAACCTTTCTTTGGATACCAACCACTTTGACCCTTTGACCTTGACATAGGAGTTTGACCTTGAAAAACTTTAACCTTGGTCATAACTTTTGAATGGTTGGTCTAGGGCTTTCATACTTCATATATGTAATCTTTGTGACAAGACCTTCCTTTGGATACCAACAACTTTGACCTTGACCTTGACGTTTTACTTACTTTTAAAAACTTTAACCTTGGCCATAACTTTTCAACAGTTGCAGCTAGGGCTTTCAAATTTCACAGGTATATTCCTCGGGACAAGACCAACAATTTTTTATCTTTTGGCCTGGATTTTGACTTGCATTTGAGAAACTTTAACCTTCGCCATAAGCTGCCATACTGGGGCATCAGTGTTTCACGAACACATCTTGTTTTTTTTTTTTTTGTAATTTTGCCCTAGTAATTTCTTTTTCAGTCAAATACATGAAAGTTTTTGTAAAAAGTCACCAAACTCTCAAATTTCAGAAAGTCAACTATCTGGATTGCTCTAGGAATTATTACTAAATTTATTTTTTTTCAATGCCCAATACCTTTAAATTTGCTAAATTGTGGTATATATATCGACACAAATGAATTATTTTGGTAAAAATTAACAATGGTTAGATTGCTGGTATGTTTCTGTTGATGTTCTGTCAACAGTTTTCAGTAAAATGTCCATGGACGTCTTGAATACACAAGCGAGTCATGCATCATTCTTCAGCGTCATGTATTGCTTACAAAACAGGGGAAACAGTGATGTTGTTAGAGCCATTTCAGCATTTTTTTTCTAATTTTATCTAACAGAGATTTACCTAGCTATTTAGTTTTACTACCTTTTTATATACAAAGGGGAAAAATGAGGGCCACAGGACTCTTTATGGCTTTCCTGTTCTTGAAAAGAAGATTTTTACAGATTTCTCCTATATATTTCTATGTAAAACTTTGATCCTCCATTGTGGCCCCACCCTACCCCAGGGGGTCATGATTTGAACAAACTTGAATCTACACTACCTGAGGATGCTTCCATATAAATATGACTCTTCATGGCTTTACTGTTCTTAAGAAGATTTTTAAAGATTATTTTTTATATTTCTATGTAAAACTTTGATCCTCCATTGTGGCCCCGCCCTACCCCCGGGGGTCATGATTTGAACAAACTTGAATCTACACTACCTGGGGATGCTTCCATATGAGTTTCATCTTTCCTGGCCCTGTGGTTCTTGAGAAGAAGATTTTTTAAAGATTCTATTCATTTTTCACTAATTCTTAATTATCTCCCCTTGAAAGAGGGCGTGGCCCTTTATTTGTACAAACTTGAATCCCCTTCACCCAAGGATGCTTTGTGACAAGTTTGGTTGAAATTGGCCCAGTGGTTCTGGAGAAGAAGACAGACAGACAGACTACAGACAAAATGTGATCAGAAAAGCTCACTTGAGCTTTCAGCTCAGGTGAGCTAAAAAGCTCTTGTCATCCTAGAAATAAATATATTCTGTCATGTGAATCATGTGAAGGCATGATCTGACTTTACAATTTGACAGCCCCCCCCCCCCCCCTTCTAGAATCAAAAGGCCATCCCCTGAAAAAATAATCTCTGGCTTCTATTACTTTTACATGTCCTTAAAATCATAAGCTAAACAAGAGGTCCATGGGCCACAATGCTCACCTGAGTCAATATGGCCCTGTTATTCTTCGTCAGCAGATTTTCCTACTATTTATTCATATGTAAAGATTTGATCGCCTGAGGATGCTTCCATATCAATATGACTCATCATGGCTTTGCTGTTCTTGAGAAGAAGGTTTTTAAAGATATTTCCTATATATGTTCTTTTGTAAAACTTTCATCCCCCATTATTGCCCTACCCTAGACCTACTACTGGAGGAAGCCTTGAACAAACTTGAATCTACAATACCTGGGGATGCTTCCATATCAATATGACTAATCATGGCTTTCCTGTTCTTGAAAAGATTTTTAAAGATTTTTCCCATATATTCCTATGTAAAACTTTGATCCCCCATATAGGTCCCACCCTACCCCCAGGGTCATGATTTGAACAAACTTGAATCTACACTACCTGAGGATGATTCCTTATAAATATGACTAATTGTGGCTTTGTTGTTCTTGAGAAGAAGATTTTTAAAGATTTTTCCTATATATTCCTATGTAAAACTTTGATTCCCCATTGTGGCCCCATCATACCCTCGGGGGTCATGATTTGAACAAACTTTAATCTACACTATGTAATGAAGGTTTCACATAAGTTTCAACTTTTCTGGCCCAGTGGCTCTTGAGAAGAAGATTTTTAAAAGATGACACCGAATTTTCACCAATTCTTAATTACCTCCCCTTGGAAGAGGGCGTGGCCCTTCATTTGAACAAACTTGAACCCCCTTCACCCAAGGATGCTTTGTGGCAAGTTTGGTTGAAATTGGCTCAGTGGTTCTGGAGAAGAAGTCGAAATGTGAAAAGTTTACAGACGGACGGACAGACAGACAGACGGTCAGACAGATGGACAGACGGACTACAGACAAAATGTGATCAGAAAAGCTCACTTGAGCTTTCAGCTCAGGTGAGCTAAAAACTCAAATAAATATGAATTTCAAAAAACATGTATTTGGGAATTGAAATTATTTGTCTTTTGGATCATACATTCACACTTAGGTTTTAAAACAGCTCAGGTGGATTGAAAATGAATTTCAAACTAGAATTTCAATCCAATGTTTTCTCGGACGGACGTGTCCTATTGTACCAGCCCATTTCATTGTCTATCATTTAATGTTTTGACTGTAACAGATGGAAATAATGTAAGGTGCATATTTCCAATTTTGCTAGTTAATGTTCTGTGGTCTTAAATATGACTAATCATGGCTTAAAAACCCTCTATACACTGCACACTAAAGAGTTCTGATTCTGTGGTATTTTTATGTAGTTAGAGTAATCTGCCCTTAGATCCAAAATGAAATAAATTGAAATCTACAGTTTATCAATCAATTTCTTATTAATTCAAGCATTCTTAACATTTTGATAGACCAATTATCAATATTTGATAATATAATTGAACACTTCATCTGCATGCATTTTCCCCACTAAGGTAAACAAGAGTGATTTCTGTTCATCAATACTTAGTTAACGTTGAACATTTTTCCTGGGGGTAAAACCCAAGCACCCTATGTTGAAAATGATATAAATAAGCTCAATATTTACCTTTATACAATATAATTTTCTCAATGTCCAAAAAAAAAAAACATTTTCATTTAGTGTAGAGAGGGTCCTTAACTGTTCTTCATCAGAAGACTTTTAAAGATAGTTTCTATGTATTCCTATGAAAACTTTGATCACCCATTGTGATCCCACCCTTCCCCCCAGGGTCATGATTTAAATAAATTTGAATCTACACTACCTGAAGATGATTCCACATAAGTTTCACATTTTCTAACCCAAGGATTCTTGAGAAGATTTTTAAAAGATGCCATGAATTTTTCACTAATTCATAATTATCTCCTCTTGGAAGAAGGCATGGACCTTCATTTGAACAAATCTGAATCCCCTTTGAGGATACTTTGTAGCAAGTTTGGTTGAAATTGGCCCTGTGGTTCTTGAGATGTCAAATATGTGAAAAGTTTGCAGACAGATGGACAGACAGATGGATGCTGGACAAAATGTAATCAGAAAAGCTCACTTGAGCCTTCTTCTCAGGTGAGCTAAAAAGGAGTGTGCTAAAATTTCAAGCATGTGCAATGAATAGTTGCTTAGAAACTGCAACGGAAATTCGGTACAGACAGACACACAGATAAACAGGATGTTGGCATCAGATTTGTACAGAAATATATCCCATCATATGGCTTGCCTAAACAAAGACTGAGCTAAAATTTCAAGCATCTGCGATGAGTAGTTGCTGAGAAAACTGTGACAGAAAAATTTGCTGTTGAATTAATTGTAGATATAAATATAATTGATGCAATTTTATTTTCAAGTTATCATTCATTGTGAGCATTTTCAAAGAAATAAATATATTGTTATTGTTATTTGCAGATGCATTAACTGACACCTTTGGATGCCTAAACTTCAGGTGGCAATTTCGATATGATGCCATCTAGATGACATTCAAGCTCTGCTTGCTCGATACCATAAAAAAAAGTGATTGAGGGGTAAAACTCTAAACTAGTCATTTTCTAATATATAATAGTATATATATAATCCTACACCCCCTTTTCTATTTTATAGGTAGGGAATACATGATTCTTGTGAGCATTACTAACTATTTGTGTGGTAATAGAAATCAAGATGATGTGAGAAAGAATGTGGTACAACTCACTAGTCTCACGACAGTATTGTGACACATTAAAGTTGGCCAATTGGATGAAAGCATCACAAAGGATTTCCATGTTTTTTACAATTCCACCAACATGTTTGTCAGATTTAAGCTGGCTAATCAATTTCTTGGCAGCCTCTATTCTTCCCTGTTAAAAAAGGAAACAAATTTCTGAAATTCAACAGACAAGCCCATAATGTCATGTGATTACTTTCATGCATGCATGTATAACTGTAATAAGTCCCATGGGTTGGTTAATAAAAACAGCCAAAGACATACTTATTTCTTTGGCCTAATTTTTTACCAGGGGATTTGATATGGTTACTTGATTTTTCATTGTTATGTAAACATTAAAACAAGAGGCCCATGGGCCACATCGCTCATCTAAACAGACTTGAATCTACATTAACTAAAGATGCTTCCATATATTTATATGACTAATCATGGCTTTAAAAGGTTTTTACAGATTTTTTTCCTATGTATTCTTGTGTAAAATTTTGATCTCCTATTGTGGCCCTGTCTTACTCCTGGGGGTCATAATATTAACAAGTTTGAATCTACACTAATTAAGAATCCTTCTGTATCAATATGACTAATCATGTCTTTGCTGCTCTTGAGGAAGTTTTTCCTATATATTCCTATGTAAAACTTTGATCATCCATTTTGGCACCGCCCTACGCATGGGGGTCATGATTTGAACAAACTTGAATATACACGACATGAGGTAGCTGCAATAATGTAGCCCTCTCCGATTTTTTTTAATCTGATATTTTCAGCATTCAACTTACTTCCAATGAGACGGAATTTTTATTCACTATCAACATCATCATAGCCCTTTATACGCGAAACCAAGTAAAATAAATCTGCGTGTTTACCAGTCGTTCTCCTCAGCAGCCATGACAGTTCTCGCATGATGTACTGAGACTTGCGCTTGAAATTTAGAATCACTTGATAAAGTAACTATCGGTGTTGATAAATGTTTGTGTTGTATGATATCGCTAAACATGATAAATAAAAGCATTCCATGGGAGATAAATAAAAGCATTCCATGGGATATTTTTTTATATACAGTGATATTTATGCTTAAAATAAAGGAAATCCTAAACAATCCGCTCCCCTAGATCCTGAATTCTCATTGGTTGTCCCAAAATAAAATCGATCAAGGTCAGTAAACATGGCGGATAAATTCAATTTGTGATGTTGACATACACGAAAAATAACCGATATATGGATTGTTCTGTATATTTTTGGATCAATTCATGTCTTGCATAACTACATTTTATGAGTTCAGGTAAGATATGTTAATAAAATACCCACTTACTGATAATTTGAGCCGAAATCTGTGCGGTAGTGAATCCTATAAGTAGTGAATCACTCCTGCACTTGCACCCGAAAAAATCTGAGAGGGCTACAGGGCTACATTATTTCAGCTAGACATGAGGATGTTTTCAATTTATAAATATGACTAATCATGGCATTGCTCTTTGTGAGATTTTCCTACTTATTCCTATGTATAACTTAGATTCCCTGTTGTGGCCCACCCTACTCCATGGGGTAATGATTTGAATAAACTTGAATCTACACTACCTGAGAATGCTTCTGTATTAATATGACTTTGCTGGTCATGAGAAAAAGATTTTTAAGGATATTTCCTATATATTCCTGTGTGTAACTTTGATCCCATCTTGTGGCCACAAATAAGACTAATTGTGGCTTTGTTGTTCTTGAGAAGATTTTCTAAGATTTTTCCCCATCTATTCATATCCAAAACTTTGATCCCCCATTGCGGAATATGTCTAATAGTGTCTATATATATTGTAAAATGTAAAACTTTCACACATACCCATTGTGGCCCCATATTACCCCCTGGGATCCTGATTTGAACAAATTTGAATCTACACAACCCGAGGATGCTTCTATATCAATATGACTAATTGTGGCTTTGTTGTTCTTGAGATGAAGATTTTTAAAAGTTTTTTCCTATAAATTCCTATGTAAAACTTTGATCCCCCATTGTGACCCCACCCTTTCCTTAGGGGTCATGATTTGAAAAAATTTGAATCTACACTATGTAATGAAGATTTCAACTTTTCTGGCCCAATGGTTCTTCTTCAGAAGATTTTCAAAAGATGACACCTAATTTTCACCATTTCTTAATTATCTCCCCTTGAAAGAAGGCATGGTCCTCCATGTGAACAAACGTGAATCCCCTTGACCCAAGGATGCTTTTTGGCAGGTTGGGTTTAAATTGGCCCAATAGTTCTGAAGAAGATGAAGAAATTGTGAAAAGTTTATGCCGACAAAAACGACAACAGACAATGGACAATTTTGATCAGAAAAGTTCACTTGAGCCTTTGGATCAGGTGAGCTAAAAATAAATTTAAAAAAAAAAACACAATTAAAATCTGTAAGTCTGTACTTTATGCATATGATAACATTAAGATGTTTCTTCTCATTTGCATGAAAAAATCCTAAAAACATGTTCTGAATTTTGTCAACAATAAATGTCAGAATTAAAAAAAAAAATACATTTCCACATTCAGAAAAATAATAATTTTTACAGGACATGCTTATAAGTAATAGAGTACTAGAGTACTGCTCATTTACATTGTGTGAATACAAGATGCCAGAGGCCACAAACCAAACTTTGCCTGAGGCCGTTGTTTCTGTATTGCACTCTGAAACATTCCGATGCCAAAAATATAATCAAAAATTCTTAATTCTGGAAGAGTCACCATCTCATCTTGCTCATCTCTTAACTATGGTCTTAGTTTGTCTGCTTAATGCCCAGGTGCAGAGAAGATTTTCGAATTATTATATTTTCACTATACATTTCATACCCCCCCCCCCCTCCCCAAGAATATCATAGCAATTTTGAAAATCTCATAATTATTTTTTGTTATTTTCCATGAAAATCACTAGTATCCATTATATTTTGAAGCATTCCATAAAACCTTGGTCTTTGATCCTTATAGCTCAAAATCAATAGGAATCATTTTTAAGTCATTTTGAAAGCAAAATCAATAGCAGTCTTCCTTTAGGCCATAAGGAGTTGTGATATAAAATTTCTTAGCAAAAGCTCAAAGACTTTGTAAGAAAACGTCATGGAAACAAAAATGTTACACACAGAGAGAATGTATAATTTTATGACCTTGACCTTTGACTTTATGAACTCAGAATCAATAGGAGTCTTCTTTAGGTCATAGGGAGTTGTGATATTAAATTTTAATCAATGAAAATCAAATTTATCATCTGGAAAATGTTATTTACAAAGTATGAATTTCTGACCTTGACCTTTGGAGCTCAAAAGCTTTAGGTGTCTTTTTACGGCCACAGGAAATTGTGATATTAAATTTAATTGTAAAAGCTCAAAGGCATTTTGAAATATTGTCCAGAAATGAAAGTGTTACACATAGACAGAATGTAAAAATTTATGACCTTGACTTTTTGATCTCAAAATCAATAGGGTCTTTAGGTCAAAGGAAAGCTCATAGAAAACTTAAGTTATCATCTGTAAATGTTACTTGCAATGTATAAATTTCTTATCTAACTTTTGACCCTGAAAATCAATAGGGGTTGTTAAGGCCATAAGGCCTAAGTTTACACATAGACAGAATGACAGACAGATGGCAAGATTCAATATCCCCCAATTTCAGTGAAACCCAGGTAAAACTCTATTAATAAGCTACATTCTTGTGTTTTGATTACCTTTACATTTTTGAAATAAGTTGATTCTATGCAAATTTGATCTCTTAAAGGCTGCATCAAAATATTTGAATTTTCAGCTTCTTTAATTTCATTCCAAAGGGGATACTCTGCATAAATTCTAGTTATAAGAATGAACAGCATCAATTTTTACAAAAGCTAGACAAACACAAAATTCACTAGACAAACACAGTAAAAACAACTGCTACCAATGCCAGAAAAACAAACCTGATTTTCACCGTCACTGGCCTGACTATTTCTAGACAGCCTGCTTTTGCTGCCTGTGTTCCTCCTCAGAAGTTCTGAATCTCTTTTGGCATTGACTAAAGCAAAAATACAAAACAAGGTATGATGGGGATGATCCACAGCTGTGCGATGAATAATCTGAAAATAAAAATCAAAGTCTAAAAGGCTTCAAATGCATCGAACAGGAAAAACAATTTCAAAAGTTTTTGTATTAAATATAAAAATTAAACATTTTAAACAATATTTCACAATGAAAGGTGTAGAGCATTATGCCATGGTCAAAATTCATCTGGCCAGAGTCTGAATTAACCAGACACTGTCAAAAGCAAACAAAAATGGATGCCTGCTTGTTTACTCATCTCTGTTAAGTCAGTTGAAGAACTTAAGTTCAGTATTCATTTAAATACTGTTGCACTTGTTATTGTCTTTTTAGCTTAGTGCACAAATTTTTCAGTGACTGGACCCTACAATTGGAAAGATCATTTCTGTCGAATTTTGTCTCAGAGTCTGCAATGTTCGGTATGCCGAAATTGTGTGCATATTATTATTACATTTATCATAAAAATCATAAGCATTAAAGCAACATTTTATATCAGTGAACAGAGGGATGAAGAACCTTAAAATTCTGCTGACCTCTTGCATGCAAACCCAAAACATAAAGAGGCATATTAACAAGAGGCCCATAGGCCACAACACTCACCTGAGACAATAAGGCCCTGTCTTTTTTATTTCCTATGTAATATTATCTTAAACTTCGATCCACTGTTGTAGCCCTATCCCACCCTAGGGGATCATGACAGACTTGAATCAAAACTATTTGAAGATGTTTCCATATCTATATTACTAAGGCTACATAAAATTGAAATTAAGGTTCTCAGGCCTGCGCACATCCGTTTAGAGATAGCCACATTCCAAATTTTATCGTATTTTTGATAAAATAAAAAAATGGTAAGGCGGAAATCAATCCTGAAAAAAAAAGTTCCGTCCTCATTTTCTCGTAGTTAATACTCGAATATTGCTTCTGGTAGCCATTTTCAAAGAGATTTGGCTACTTCAAAAGTTTGTTTAAAAATACATTCAAAGATAATGCCTATGATGTTCACACATCGAGAAGGAAAGGATAATTCATTTCCAAACCAATTGATCAGACATGGAAAGTTTGGAAAGTATATCTATGAACAAAGAATTTTTATCATTATTTTATAGCAAATTCGGGTATTAAAAAAATATCTCCCTCATCTACTTTATTGCCAATAAAATGATAAATAAAAAGCTGCCCTCCCGAATCCGTTTTGGAGAAAATTGGTCTAAAAACCAGAGAATTTAATTTATAAGCCTAATCATGGCTTTGTTGTTCTTGAGAAGATTTTTTATAGATTTTTTCCTATATATTCCTGTGTAAAACTTTGTTCCCTTATTGTGGCCCCAACCTAATCTATGGTTTGAACAAACTTGAATCTACACTACCTGAGCATGCTTTCATATCATTATGACTAATCATGGCTTTGTTGCTCTTGAAAAAAAAAAAATTTTAAGGAGTTTTCCTATATAAACCTAAACTAGATATCTTTGAGATGGTGGCCATCTCAAAGGGCCCCGCTTTCAGCAACAAACTTGAAAATGTAAGGTAGCTGTAAAGGGTTTATTTTGAAGAGGAATATTTGTGTACTATTAAGGGATGTGTTGTTTGAGTTTAAAGGGCTTCTTTGTCATCCTCCTTATAATAAAAAATGGCATGAAAATCACGAGTGCTCCATACTCTCTATCAAAAAAACGGCACAAAAATCACAAATGTTGCATATCTTCTATGAAAATTGTTGCATATCCTGTTATAAAAATATGGTAGGAAAATCACAAATGTTCCGTACTCTAAGTCAATTGGTAAAGTTTGAGGATGACTGGACTTAAGGGAAAGAAATTATGTACCAAACAAAGATTTTAAACAGAGAGGCTATTTTTGACCTCGACTCTTGACCTAGAAACTTCGTTCAAGGTCACTGCACATCCACTGACCAGTGGAACTCTGTGAGTGAAGTTTGAGCCACATTGGACCAAGGGGAGAGAAGATATGCTCCAGACAAGGATTTTTCACATAATTCTGCTAGAACCTTAACCTTAGACCTAAAAACATGGTTCAAGGTCACTGCACACCCTTTACTCAAAGGCACTCTGTGGGTGAAGTATGAGCCAGATTGGGCCCAGGAGAGAGAAAATATGCTCCGGACAAGAATTTAGAGAGGCTATTTTTGACCTTGACCCTTGACCTAGAAACTTTATTCAAGGTCACATCCATTGACCAGTGGCACTCTGTGAGTGAAGTATGAGTCACATTGGACCAAGAGGAGAGAAGATATGCTCTGGACAAGAGATCTCAGATGGACAGATGGACGGAAGGACGAACAGACAGACTGATCACTATAGGGTGCCCACAGAGTGGGGCCCTAATAAACTCTTGCCCCTGGGGTCATGATTTAAACAAATTCAAATCTACACTATGTGTAATGAAGCTTTCACATATTAAATGCTATCATTTCTGGCCCAAAGGTTAATGAGAAGAAGATTTTTGAAAGATGCCATTAAATTTCTCTAATTTTAAGTTATTTCAACTTGAAAGAAGGAGTGGCCCTTCTTTTGATAAAAAATGAAGTAAAAAATGTGAAAAGTTTACACACAAAAGACGGATGCTGCACACCCTTTGATCAGAAAAGCTCACTTGAACCTTTGGCTCAGGTGAACTTAAAATTGTTTACAAATGTACTGTACGTCATGGAAACAGACAGATGAATAGTATCATATGATAAACTCTTCCAATCTTCAACCAGCATAGCTAAAACTGAACAAATACAAATTGAAAGGCCAATATTGTAAGAGACTGAGAGAGTTGTAATGAATAATATATAAGCAGAAATTTCAGCGTGGATTCAATTTTAGCATCTTTAGTGAGTGATGAGATCACTAAATTTTAATATCACTAAAAAATTTATTCTGCATTAGAGGTTACTGATATCTTTCTGTGCACTATAAAAGCAGTTAAATCATTTCTCACTAAATACTGATTTTTAAGGACAAATCGCTAAAAATTCCACTTATAGGGTACATACATATGCCTCCACGAACTTCATTAATAGTTCTATATTACTGAATTCCTTTCCTTAGACATTCAATAAAGACCAACCTTTTGCAGTGTCTTCTGCAGAGAGGGGGACTGATCAGTAGGTGGATTAGTGTCCATTCTAGCACACAGCTGGTACATCAGACTCAGAAACTTGTAGGATTTAATACTGTCCATATTTATCTAAGTTTAAAAAATTAAATCAATAGACAATACAAAACACACATAAAGTCACATATTTTAATTCAAATATGTTCTCAAATTTCATTACCATAATTAAACCACTAATGTCAGCAGAAGTGGGATTACTGAACCATAATGATACCAGACGGAATATGCGGATGTCATGCTTGTCACCATACTTCAGACATTTGATATAGTTCTGGACAGACTGTTTAAGGCACCTCGATCTGTCCTCCTCCATAGCATTCAGTTCTGACTGATCTATCTCACTTTGTTTACTTAGGGTTTTATAATATCGACTGAAAAGACAAAAATTTTATGTTTTATTTGACCAAATTAGTACTGTACTGTCGCATGTAAAGTTTGCACCATTGTAAAATTAAGTCCCCCCCCCCCCCCCCCCCCAGCTGGTGGTAAATCTAGAAAAACAAGATGTGATACCCCCGTATGGCAGCTTATGGTGAAGGTTAAAGTTTCTCAAATGCAAGTCAAAATCCAGGCCAAAAGATAAAAAAAGTTGGTACCCAAAGAAAGGTCTTGTCTCAAGGAATATACCTGTGAAATTTGAAAGCCCTAGCTGCAACTGTTCAAAAGTTATGGCAAAGGTTAAAGTTTTTTTAAAAGTAAGTAAAACATCAAGGTCAAGGTCAAAGTTGTTGGTATCCAAAAGAAGGTCTTGTCACAAGGATTACATATATGAAGTATGAAAGCCCTAGCAACAACCATTTCAAAAAGTATGACCAAGGTTAAAGTTTTTCAAGGTCAAACTCCTATGTAAAGGTCAAACGGACAAAGTGGTTGGTATCCAAAGGAAGGTGATGCCACAAGGATTACATATGTAATGTATGAAAGCCCTAGCATCAACCATTCAAAAGTTATGGCCAAGGTTAAAGTTTTTCAAAAGTAGGTCAAACTCCTAGGTCAAAAGGTCAAAGTGGTTGGTATCTAAAAAAGGTCTTGTCACAAGGATTACATATATGAAGTATGAAAGCCTAGCTCCAACCATTCAAAAGTTATGGCCAAGGTTAAAGTTTTTCAAAAGTAGGTCAAACTCCTAGGTCAAGGTCAAAGGGTCAAAGAGGTTGTTATCCAGAGGAAGGTCTTGTCACAAGGAATACACATGTGAAGTTTGAAACCCCAAGCACCAACTATTCAAAGGTTATGGCCAAGGTTAAAGTTTTTTTAAAAGTAGGTCAAACTCCAAGGTCAAGGTCAAAGTTGTTGGTATCCAAAGGAAGGCCTTGTCACAAAGAATACACATGTGAAGTTTGAAACCCCAAGCACCAACTGTTCAGAAGTTATGGCCAAGGTTAAAGTCTCATAAAATTTTGCAAAAGTGGATTAAACTCCAAGGTCAAGGTCAAAAGGTCAAATTTGATGGTACCCAAAGAAAGGTCTTGTCACAAGGAATACACATGTGAAATATGAAAGTCATAGCTCCAACCAATCAAAAGTTATGGGCAAGGTTAAAGTTGACAACAGGCATACAGACAAATGGACAAACAGACAGACAGGACAAAAACAATATACCCCCGGGATCTTTCGATCCTGGGGCATAAAAAACAAGCTCTTTGGATAAAAGACACCCAAAATGTTAAAAATGTATGTGTCTTTGATTTTATTGTCACTTGTGATGTAAATAAAAGGTCTGATGATCGTTACATACACTTCAAAAACAAAGTAAAATGCTACCTTTAATTTTATATATAAATCGCCCAAGGGCCTAGAATCGCTCTTCTGAACAAGAAGCCCAAGGGCCTTGAATCGCTCACTTCTATTTGCAATTGAAGCCTCTAAGCATCCTGTATAATTAGATAAAGCCTTCAAATTCCAAAGAGAGGTCATCATGACCTACATTTTAGATGAAACACTCTGAGAACCCAAGATGATTCTAAGCCAATTAGTACCTGAGAGTAGGTCATGGTGACCTACTAATCACTTGTCATTCTCTGAGGACCCAAGATGCATGAACTTAGTTTGATGATTCTAAGCCAAATAACACCTAAAATATTTAAAAATTATAACCATAAAATTTCAGAAGTAGGTCACAGTGACCTACTTTTCAGATAACATACTTTGATGATCCAAGATGCATCAACTGACAAAGTTTGAAGATTCTAAGCTAATAAGTATGTGATAGTATGGAAAATAAGGGGGTACCATTTATATTTTATGTATAAAACTTTAGCGATGTTGCAGTACAGTCGGATTGTTGTCGATGATTCTTGGTACGACTTCATTTTTGTATTCTCGAGTCGGCGCCAATATACAAACATCAGCTAATTTTGTCTCCTCCTTTTTCCAGGTAATTAACAGATTATTTTATGTTTTATCTGATTGATTTTGTATGAGGTGATATGTTATATACTTTGCTAATTGTGTACATGTTTATTTAGATGCATTTCAGGCATCTTCGCTAGCCAAGGGTTTCTGATACGCTACTCTCCTCATAAACCCTTGGCATACGGTGCTGACAAAAGACGGGATTGTTTTTGTCACGTGATCATGATTCTTACCAGGTACGCACAGATTGCGTCATCGACAGAAATAAAAAGCGTATTTTAAAAAAAAATTGTTTTTAAAGAATAATTAACAAAAAGGTATCGAGTTATGTTAATTTGTTATTTAAACATGTAAAAATGCAAATCTACATCTTCAATATAGATTCTTAATCACATATTTTGCACGCAGCTTTAGATATTGGATGACACCATATAGCTATTCATAGAATGGCATGTTATCTTACGGATCATTGTTTACTTGTGTTTTACATTACCGATATTAAAGAGTCAAGATATATCCCGAACGCAAATATCGCCATTTACAAAAAACAATTGCTGATTGGTCGAACGATGTCGATAAACTCCAATCACAACTTGAGAAAAAATCCCAACTTTTTTAACACCGTATGCCAAGGGCTTATGAGGAGAGTAGCGTATCAGAAACCCTTGGCTAGCGAAGATGCATTTCAGGTTAATTGTGCATATTTTGTTATCGAAGTGTTCAATGCAAAACCATGTGCTTTAAGATCACGTGATGAATAGTTTAAGTAGCCAAAATTCATACAGCTATGCCTGTTCATGTTTTAGTTCATGATTTATGAAACACATGTAGAAAATGTTATTCATAGCATAATATTTAGTTGAGTCAGGTAGTAGATGATGTCAAAGTAACAAGTCATGATTCCCGCACTTTCTACATCCGGGCATTTTCAATATGGCTGTGCCAATACAGATTTTATTGTTTACATTCCCATTAGTATAACTATGTTAAAGTGCAAGTCTAATTAGATATTGTATGATGTCTGATTGTTATCTAAGAGTTGTGTTTATTATTGTAGCATATCACTATTAATACTATTTCAGTTTAAATTCAGTATTAAGTTTAAGGTACATGTAGCTACTTTGTGGTTGTGATACTTTGTGTCATAAAATGTCAGTATTATTTTGTCAATCATATTGTTTCAATCAATCAAGTCTCATTAGTTAAAGTCTCAGGATAACAAGGATTAATTCACAGATCTAGTCATTTTGTTTGCATTGCACTTGCAAGCTAACTGTTGAATTCTCACATACATGTATCAGTATTGTTCCTTGATTATATAAATGCATCAGTTCCTAGTAAAACATATTACTGTGTTTAAGAATGTGCATTTTTTTTTATTGTATAGTCGTACAACCTAAATTTTGTATTTGAGAGTCGCGCCAATAAACAAACATCAGCTAACATTGCCTCCTCCTTTTTCCAGACTCTCTCCTTTTGAAACCGGTTACAAGTACCTGATATATTTAAATATAAAGCCATAAAATTTCAAAAATAGGTCACAGTGACCTGCTTTTCAGTTGACTAACTCTGCGGACCCAAGATGAATCAAATAACAAAGTTTGGTAATTCTAAGCCAATTAGTACCTAAAAATATTTAAATAAGGCAATAAAATTTCAAAAGTAGGTCAGAGTGATCTACATTTCAGTCAACATACTCCAAGAACCAAAGATGCATCAACTGAATAAGTTTGATGATTCTAAGCTAATTAGTACATGAAATATTTCATTATAGTCATATAAATTGAAAAGTAGGTCACGGTGACCTACTTTTCAGTTGTCGTACTCCAAGGACCCAAGATGCATCAACTGACAAAGTTTGATGATTCTTAGCCAATTAGTACCTGAAACATTTAAAGATATACACGCTATAACTTGCCTCAGTTAAAAATAAAGTTGGAAATTAATTTATTTTGTTTACCAAATAAAGTTAAGAAAATATTGTTAATTACATAATTGGAAATGAACGCATTATAAAGATCTCAAATTATAATTATTTATTATCCTACTAGGACAGTAATGCCTCTATTTAAATCCACGCGTCATGTGACACCGTCGCTACTTTTAGATTGATAAACAAAAATGGTGTCAAGAAAACAAGGTAGGCCGTTTGGTATACAAAATAACTTTTGACCTGGATGACATACGTTTAATGCTTAAAGATACTTATCTTTGAAAACAACCAGTATTAACCATCTACTCTGTAATGACAGATATTAACTTTTATTCAAAATCGTAGTCAAAATGCAACGTACCTCGTTGTCTATGATTTCCCGCGGACATGCGTGTCTATATACTGTTTACGCACTTCCTTCATCAATATTCATGAATAGGCTGAATCTTAATAGCAGATCTTGCTTAATTGTTTTGTAATTACAACGACTTATTTAGTAAAACTTTGTTGAAAGTAATTATTTTTTATTATACATCATGTTTCTCAAATCATTTAATCATTTTGTTTCATCTAAAAAATCACGTTTATATAGCATGTATATTTTTAATTAAAGCCATAAATTTTTAAAAGTAGGTAACGGTGACCTACTTTTCAGTCAACTTACTCCGAAGACCCAAGATGCATCAACTGACAAAGTTTGATGATTCTAAGCCAAATAGTACCCTTAAATATTTAAATAAAGCCATAAAATTTCGAAAATAGGTCACAGTGACTTACTTTTTAGTTGACGTTTTTTGAGGACCCAAGATGCATCAACTTAGTACAAAGTTTTATGATCATAGGCCTTAAAATGTCCAAATTATGCCTCTTAAACGCTTTGAAATCGAATGCCTGCAAAATTCAAAAAGTAGGTCAATGTGACGTACTTTTTATTAAATATGTTTTATGGCCTGAAGATGCATCATCTTACAGGATTTAATGATTCTAAACCTCTCAGTATTCAAATAATGACTTTAATTGTTTTGGAAAAGATTAGCCATAAAATTCAAAAAGTAGGTTAATGTGACCTACTTTTTAGTTGAC